TTACTGTGTGTGAATGCTTAGAGTCTTGTTCCCATGTATTTTAGGTCCAGCTTCCACATATGAGAGAAAACATGCACCATTTGTCTCTATGCTTGGCTTACTTCATTTAACACGATCAGCCTGGCTTTTGCTAGTTATGTTGAAGATGGAGTCTCACAAACTTGTGTTTGTTCTGCCCAGGCTAGCTTCAAACCATGATCCTCTGGATCTCAGCTTCCTGGGTAGCTGTGGTTATCTGCTGGCACCCAAATATGTAAATGAGTTTTCATTTCAAATTTGGATGTTGAGGAATGTATTGGCATCTTTAGACCTAAGCTGTTCTTTTAGTTTATTACATTTTTCCCCCAATTTACAGTTCAATATTTTTTTTTCATTTTGTTCTTTAATGTTTTTTCCCCTCAAAAGGTGTGTGTGTGTGTGTGTGTGTGCGCGTGCGCATGCACACGCGTGTGCCTGTGTGTGTTTGGGGAGAAAAGTGGGAAAAGTGGAGATTTCTCTTTTAAAAAATCTGTGTTTTATAAATATGTCAATTATCCTTCTTGGGGTTGTTAAATAACACTGGATTCAATGAGTTTTGTGCTTTCTCATGGAATGACATAGGCTTTCTTGATTTTAGACAATCCCTCATTTTAGGTTTAGCCATTCACTACACTGTAAGTTAGTATTTTGAGTTTGGACTTCCCAGAAGGGCAAGGTTGATCAAGGTTTGAAAGAGTTAGGCAGTCAATTTAATGTGCATTTAAAAATCTATGGCATGGTGTGTTGAATTTCCATACCTTTTCTCTCCCTTCTTGCCAGTTTTATTTCCTATCTTCCCTCCAGTAAGTATTCTCTGCTCTACCAGACTTTGTTTTTTTGTTCCCACTATCCTGAGAATTTCCTATATTCATTTCTATCAGTTTTTTCCTCATTCTTTGCCTGGAACTGGACTCTTCTTTCTTTTCCTACAGTATATATTCAGGTCTGGAAATTCTTTAGGTTGTAGCTCCTCTATCAATATCTCTGTCTGTGTGTCTGCCTTTTTGTATGTCTGTCTGTCTCTCTGATGGTATTGGGGTTTGAACTCAGGCATTTGCCTGGTAAGTGCTCTTCCACTTGAGCCTAACCTCCAGCCCTTTTTACTTTATCATGCTTTTCAGGTAGGGTATAATTCTTTTCCCAAGGCCCACCTTGGACCATGATCTTTCTACTTCCAGTTCCTTTAGTAGTTGGGACTACAGCTGTCGGCACATGGCTAACTTGTTTTCAAGATCAGATCTCAGTAACTTTTGCTTAGGTTGTTGTCTTCCTCCTTCTGTCTCCCAAACAGCTAGGATTAAAACATGAGCCATCATATTCACGTCTATCAGTTTTTTTGATTTATCAACTATGTTCATTTTTTTTCTCATACTACTCCCTTATGTAATTATTAATGGTTGCAGGAGTATTTGACTTGGCAAATCTCTGTAGCCATTCTGTCCTTGAGAGTCTGACTCTAAATTGTCTTTTTAATCAAATAGTGAGCTTTATAAAGGATATATGATTTGTTGTTGGTGAGACACATAAGATGTGTAGAACAGAGCAAAGCACATTAGTGTCTAATAACACAATTCAAGCAGCTGAAAAAATTAAACTGGAAATCTACATAGTCTAATATGACACCTATCTTCTAAGGAGAAGACACTTGTTTGGTATGAAATCATTTGAATGGAATTAATAAAATTCACATTGCTAATATACCTAAACTTTAATGCAAAGAGGATGAGAAAATGGCTTTCTTAATGGAATTACAAAGAAAATTCTCACTAGCAGCCTACATAGTGCACCTGAATTTCAAAAACTGCTATTATATTTGATTATGTTTATTTGGTTTATGTTTTTCTACCCTGTGAAAGGATTCTACCCTGTCGAGGATTCAGACTTTCCTGTGTTTAGTGCTAAGTATATAGTGTGAACATGGTAGGCATAAAACTAAACCGACATGCCACAGCAAGGAGGAAAGTAAGGGTCTTAATCTCATCCAGTACTGAGAGGCCGTGGCTGGGCTTGACATTCTCCATGCCTCCCCCAAATAGGAAATTTATAAGAACTGTCTCTCCCTCTCTCCAACCACCAAAATGGGGCCCTAAAAATTGGTAAAAATCAAGTTTCACAAAACTGTGAAGAACAGGCACCTAGCTTAAAGAAACAACCTTATTTTCATTTTCCTGGCACAATTGGAGTTGTGACTCATGAAATTTGAATCTAGTATGTAGATTAGTGCACACATACACACACACAGTGGATACAATTTACTCATTCAGTATTAATCAAGAAATTCATTCATTCAGTGGAAATCATGACAAGCTTCCTATGAGCAGGACCGTTTGAGTGACCAGCACAAATCCTTTGCACTGCCACGAGCATGGATCAGTAATCCAATTACCGGGACAGCTGAGTCTAATATTTTTTTGTGTGTTATCTGAAAGTGAACTTCAACCTTTCATTAAAGGGACAGGAAAGTAGTGTCCACGTAAGCTATGTGTTTACTTTGTACTTGAATATGCAGGAATGATCTCATCTGTGTATCTGAAACCAAGAGTTTTATCTGATTGTTCTTATCTGTGTACTCTGTATACAATGGATCTTTAAAAGCACACAATACAGAGGTTGGAGGGCATGGCTCAGTTGGCAGAGCATTAGACAGTGAGTGAACATGTCAGTTCCGATCTCAGACCAAAAACAAATGAATACACAATGTCTTCAATGAGCACATGGGCCGGTGAGAAAACAGATGCCATTAGAACGTTCTTCTGGCAAACACTAAACTCTAGAACATGTGCAGTGCAGCTCTTCATAATCCAGTCCTTATCTTATATATAATTAAATTCACAAAGGTGTTGTCTCCTTTTGTCATCCTTTCTGTGGAGCAAGACCTTTGGTGTTGGCTAAGGCATAGTGCTGGATATATTTGTTTGTTTGGTACAGAACATTTATTTTAAAATTATATATTTCTTTATTTAATTTGTTACTTTATATTTTGTCATTCATGGGGCTTGCACTCAGGGCCTGGGCACTATCTTTGGGCTCTATTGCTCAGAGCTATTGCTCTACCACTTTGAGCCAAGCTCCACTTCTATTTTTCTGGTAGTTAATTGGAGATGAGTCTCATAGCCTTTCCTGCCAGGGCTGGCTTCGAACCAGGGTCATCAGACCTCACCTCCTAAGCAACCATGATTACAGGCACGAGCCACCAGTATGGGGCAGAAATTTTACTCTTTTCCTGGGTATTTTTCAATTCAATGCATGAACAATAGAGCAAAAATCTCAACCATAGCAAAATGTTCGTTAGGTTTTTGTTTTTGTTTTGTTTTGTTTTTTGGTTGTGGGGCTTGAACTCTGGGCTTGGGTGCTGTCCCTCAGCTCTTCAGCTCAAGGCGAGTGCTCTACTGCTTGAGACACAGCACCATTTCAAATTTTCTAGTGATTTTATTGAAGATAAGAGTCTCAAGGATTTTCCTGCCCAGGCTGGCTTTGAATCATGATCCTCAGATCTCAGCCTCCTGAATAGCTAGGATTACAGGTGTGAGCCACTGGTTCCCAGCTGTTTGTTAGTTTTTAAGCTTTCCTATTTTAGTCTTAAGGAATGTCAAGCCCATCTTTGTTGGTATAAAATTTCAACTAGTTTGATCATGGCATGGAGGTGGGTAGAATCGCAAAAATGTCATTATTGCTGTCATCACTAAAGCATTGCAGCCAAATAAGTGTTTTGGAGGAAGATGGTATAATTTTAGTTCCATGGAGATTCTATAGCTTTAAAAAAGTTATACTGGGCACTAGTGGGTCATACTCAGAGGACTGAGACCTAATGATAGTGGTTCAAAGCCAGCCCAGGCAGGAAATTCCATGATATTCTTATCTCCCCCCAATTAACCACTAGCAAACTGGATGTGGAGCTGTGGCTCAAAGTTGTAGTGGTAGCCTTGAGCAAAAGAGCTTAGAAACAGTGCCCAGGTCTTGAGTTCAAGCCCCACATCTGATAAAAATTAATGTCATATATAGGAAAAGTATGGGGTTTGGGTGAGTCCATAAGCATCAATAGCAACCATTAATGCAGTGTTTCATTGTTTGAACTATGGTAGGGTTAGTAATGTAGTAATGTATTCCTTGTCTACTGCTCTGATGGAGAATGTGGAGGTGAATGTCTTATATGCTAGTTTTCTATTTCTTTTGTGTTTTAGTAACTTTGAGGCCTTATCTGTCACCAGATCCTTCATTTCTCAGATTAAGTAGACATAGCATATCGGTAATAAAGGTCACGAGCCAGTATTATTCTTATACAACTAGTTGTGACACCTCTCCCATCAGGATTCTCGGGTGTGGCAAGGGGTGAGAGCTAGAATCATTGCTCTTTCTAACCTATTCCATTGTTAATTTTTTGGTTTGAGACCAGAACTTGAACTTAGTATCTGATGCTTTCACTCATTGGCTGGTGCTCTACCATACGAGCCATGCCTCCAACCCCAGCTCCTGGGCCTTGCTTTTTACCCGTGGAAAAATGACCCATTCTTTGAAAAGCAAACCATGTCAGCAGAAGAAACTGCATTCATAAACACCTGTGGATATCATTTATTTGGGTCCAGTTTTAAGTATTTTGAGTCACCTTAAACATAAGAGCTTAGAGGAGCCAATACCTACACTTGACTTTCGATGAGTGAACTCATAAATCTTGCGCCCTAATGATAACAGTGATTGCATTTATTTACTGCTAGGTTTATAAAATGTGAAGTCAAAGTTCAAAGTATGCACATCCATGATTCCTTGTCCACTGCCCAAATGAGGACAGAATATCTGCCTCACAACACCTGTGAGGTAGGTGGGCACAGGTAAGTTTTCTACTGTCTGTGCCATCAGCCCCGCCTCCTCTCCCAGCCCATAAACTGCAGGAGCCTCAGCTCCCTCATCAGAGCTGGGCACTGAGGGGAGCTCAGCAGAGTCCGCTCTGCAGCCAGCACAACCCAGAGCTGAAAGGAAAAATCAGAGGAGAGAATTACCGGACAAGAGTGACCATGGACTTGATCCTTAACTTTTCCCTAGAAACCTGGGTCCTCCTGGCTATCAGCCTAGTGCTCTTCTATCTGTGAGTAACTGTCTAGACTCTGCTCCTCCCACCACCCCTAACCTAGGATTCAGGGTGAGGATTATTATGGTCTGTTGATTGGGAATATCTAAAGAGAAAAACAAATGGGACAATTTAACCAACACATTTAAAGATTATCCTGTAGAGATCCCAGGAGAGACTTAATAAATATTTCTCTTTCGTGGACTCTCAAATTTCTGTGTGCATGTGGGTAGTGGCATCATTTGGAAATGATCTCTGAGTTGATGTTGGGACCTGAATTAATGACTCAAATTCAGCAGAAGCAGAATATGAACAACTGATCACCCTTGGAGAGACCTCAGGATACTTGGGGTAGAAGGTCTCAATTGTTTGTTTTGGTGCTGGACTTGGGACTTTAACTCATGGCCTAGGTGCTGTCCCTGAGCTTTTTTTGCTTAAGGCTATATCACTCTACCACTTGAACCACAGGTCCACTTCTGAATGTTTTGGTGGTTAATTGAAGAGAAGAGACTCACAGCCAGGTGCTGATGGCTCACACTTGAAATCCTAGCCACTCAGGAGGCTGAGATATGAGGATCATGGTTCAAAGCCAGCCTGGTCAGGAAAGGCTATGAGACTTACCTCCAATTAACCACTACAAAATTGGAAGTGGTGCTGTGGCTCAAAGCATCAGCCTTGAGCAGGAAGAGCTCAGGGACAGTACCCAGTCTCCGAGTTCAAGCCCTACCCCTGAGTTCAGGTGCACACATACACACACACACACACACACACACACACACACACACACACACACACACACACACACACACACACACACGAGTCTTACAGACTTCCTGCCTAGGCTGGCTTCAAACCATAATCCTTAGATCTCAGCATTCTTGGTAGCTATGATTACAGAAATGAGCCACTATATATATATTTACCTCATAAGCACATTGTTTTAATTCGTTGGCTGTTTACATTTACTTTTATTTCTGAATGAGCATACATTAGTAATACAAGTGGTTTTATTATGATAATTTCATGCATGGGTGCAATAAACTTTGAACACATTCACTTCCTTCATTCTATCCTCCATTCTCTCCTCCCGCCATCTGTTTGAAACAGTGATGACTGCACTCATTGTGTTATGTTTATATATATATACACATAAACTCATAAAAACCTAGCATGTGTAACACAGATGTAACATCTTTCAATACTCTTTAGTCCTTTCCTTCCCACTCTCCCCATTCCACAAATCTCCGCAGATAACCTATTTTTATTTATGTCCCATTCTTAATTGCTGTCATTTTCATTACCATCATCATCATCATCACAACCATCATCATCACAACCATCATCATCATGATCATTTCACAGATGAGCAATAGCATGCAACAGTTGGCTTTTGGAACATGACGTATCTGACTCAATAGGATGCTTTCCAGTTCTATTTTCCTGCAAATGATTTCCACTTAGCACAGTAATATTCCATAGTGTGTGTGCATATGATTATCTGTTCATTGGTCATTGTGTACTTGGTTGATTCTACCGCTTGGCTATTGTCTATAGAGCTGTAATAAGCATCCATAAGCAGGAATCTCCCTTGTATATTGATATTCCTCTCCAGCAGGTTATCTTAGTCTTTCTGTGGAGGTGAGTAGGAAGAAGGTAAGCCAATAATGAAATCAACAACACCCAGGTAGGAATTAGGAGGAAGCAAGAGAATAATCCTCTCCTTTAAGGTCAGAGCTCCAAGCCCCACTTATGAATCCTGGCTGTCCACATCAAATGATGCATGGAAATGAAATGACTTGGAAATTTCTAGTTTGAATCTCACAAGATCACTCAAAACAAGACTGTAGACTTTTCCAATTATCCACTGTGGGTTGGGGAGCCTAAAGACTCCAGCTACTTTTAGCTCGTGTTTGTGACTTTTGGAGTTCTCTCAGAGGCTGTAAGAAAGGAACTGAAGAGCAAGGGTAATCATTGTCATTTGAGTTTCTTGTGTTATCATTGCCTACATGTTGGCATCCCATTTTGACTGTCCTACTTCTTGAGTTAGTAACTGACTACACTCCATATGTATACAGTGTGTGTGTGTGTATATGTGTGTGTGCTTGCATGTGTGTGCATCTTTATGATCTGTATTTTTAAAAAATATTTATAGATATGGGACCTATCCACATAGAGTTTTTAAGAAGTTGGGAATTCCTGGCCCGAAACCTCTGCCCTTTTTGGGAACTTTTCTTTATTATCGTAAGGTAAGTGTTGCTTGAGGTCTACAGTTTGTTTTTCTGGTTGCAAAGACTGGCTTCCTTCCATTCATAAAAAGTGCTGTTGGGTTGACCCATTGTAACAATGAGATGTACAAGACACTATGTTGAAAACACATTTTACAACTTGGTGGCAGGGAGGGAGGAGTTGGGGAGGTGGGGAGGGAAGGGATGGTAGGGTGAAAACAAAGGAAGGGGTAACAATGCTTGATAGGAAATGTACTCATTACCTTACTCATGTAACTGTAACCCCTCTGTACTGTATCTTTGCAATACTTTTTTTTTTTTAAGTGCTGTTGGTGGAGGGGGAAGTGCCGACTTTCAGAAGCTGTGTGTGTGCTCCCCCTAGAGTATGGCCAGGTGTACTTCAGGGCTCTTGGTCCAGCTGTCCTGACTATTCACTGGCCGTGAGTGGATCCACTCAGATTTCCTGTATCTTGGCACTCACTTGAGAACTTGATAGTTAAAGGATTTTTTTCCCAGACCAGTACCAATTCCAGAAAGGGTCCCTCATAGCTCTAGGGACTTTTGTTTGCAAAGTCTTATATTAAGTTTCTATGCCAGAAGAGGTGACTTGAACATCCTACTCCAGGGACCTCATTTGGTAAACAAAAAAACAAGTTGCATGAGGAGATAAAAGATAAAAGATTGGACATGTCTGCTGGGTACTGTGCTTAAATATATCGTCTTAGTTCCTAGACAACCAATGACCTGGGAATTGCAGTTTGAAGCCAGCCCAGGCTCTCCCTCCTCCCCGCAAATGCTTGGATGAAAGCCACTTCAAAGTGACATACTGCATATATAAACTTGTTCTAGAACGTGATCAAGGGGAATGTACTTGGATGAGGTCTTAAACATGTAACATTTACCTTTATTTCTCTTCCCAGGGCGTTGTAGCTTTTGATGTAGAATGTTATAAAAAATATGGAAAACTTTGGGGGTAAGTATTCTGGAAACTTCCTTGGGGTAGATTGGTGAAGACAGATAATCCATTCTATTGGGACACAATCAGCCCAGAGTGTCTTGAGCCACACTGATGAGTTATGAATTCTGTGGAGGCTTTTCCTTATGAAGATCTCACCTGTCACCAAAATTTGTGTATGTACATGTTGTGATAGTCCTGGAGCTTGAATTCAGGGCCTGGTCACCATCCCCGAGCTTCTTCTGCTCAAAGCTAGCACTTGTCCACTTGAGCTACAGCTGCCCTTCTGGCTTTTTTGGTAGTTATTTGGAGATAAGAGTCTCATAGTTTCCTTCTCAGATTGGCTTCAAACCATGATCCTCAGATCTCAGCCTCCTGAGTAACCAGTATTACAGATGTGAGACACCAGTGTCAGATATGTTTAATATTTTTTTTGAGGGGGGGTCCGGTTGTGAGGCTTGAACTCTGGGCCTGGCGCTGTCCCTCAGCTCTTCAGCTCAAGGCTAGCACTCTACCACTGAGCCATAGGGCCACTTCCAGCTTTTTTCTTTTTGCTTATATGGTGCTGAGGAATCAAACCCTGGGCCTCATGCATGCAAGGCAAGTACTCTACCACTGAGCCACATTCCCAGCCCCATGTTTAATATTTTTAACATATTAAAAGCCGTGGTGACTGGCATGGATAAAACTCATGTATGCACTGCCTGAACTTAACCAAATGTCGCAATGATTATAAGCTCTTGGAAGATCTGTTTTGTCTTTAGGTGTCTCCTCTGTACCTCAGTACATTGGCCTTCATTCTGTGGACCCCTGTGTTCAAAATCCCTAGCTATTATTGGCATATGTTGAGGAGCTTGGAGTATGATCACGTCTGGATTTCTTTGTCCTGGCTCAAGGTGCAGAGCCTGGCAGGTTAGGTTTTTCACTCAGCTGTGTTTGGCACACGCACAGGTTGTACGATGGTCGGCAGCCCTTGCTGGCGATTACAGATCCAGATGTGATCAAAACAGTGCTGGTGAAAGAATGCTACTCTACCTTCACAAACCGCCGGGTAGGCATCCATTAAAAGAAAACACATTGTAATATTTATTTATCAACAAAATAGATATTTTTCCTGTTTTTATTATGAAAGAATTATAAGCTCTGTGGAAATGGGCAGGGGAAGAATGTTGAAAGGAGTGCTATTGATCAAGATACATTGTGCTCATGAATCAACATGTTGGATTAAAACCCTTCTGTTTATAAGATAATTATAAAGAAAGCAACAGATAAATGTTGATAGAGAAGCTTCTAGAATATGAGATCCTGAAATCATATGAGGTGGCTGCGGGGCCTCACATGGAACTAGACATTTGGGATAAATATACGTTGAGTTTCTTACAGAGGACCGACTGTTCACGTAGACAGTAGAAAGTTCTTTAAATGCTGACAATTCACTAATTTTATACAACTGTGCAAGATCTTCAGTTGAAATATAGCAAAAATCTGTTTTTCTTTGGAGTCTAGTCTTTTGGCCCAATGGGATTTATGAAAAATGCCGTCTCCATCTCTGTGGATGAAGATTGGAAGAGAATAAGAACATTGCTTTCCCCCACCTTCACCAGTGGGAAACTGAAGGAGGTAATCAAACCTGAGAACGTGGTGCTGGAACATTACAGAATGAGTCAGGGGACAGGCAGACAGACGGATCAGAGGGCTTTACCAAGAGGACATCCTCCAGAATTCCATGAATTCTCATAAATGGAATGTCCTTTCCATCTTTTGAGGAGTGGGGTGTGTCATGGCCGCTGGGATGTAAGTCTTCTCTTTTAACTTCTCTTGTTTTGTGCCTAGATGTTCCCCATCATCCGTGAGTTTTCTGATGGGTTGGTGAGAAACCTGAGACCACAAGCCGAGAAAGGCAAACCTGTGGCATTGAGAGAGTGAGCACTTGCTGGGCACTGGTGATGTATGCCCGTAATCCTAGCTACTCAGGAGACTGAGATCTGATGGTCACAGTTTGTTGCCAGCCCAGGCAGAAAAGTCTGTGTAACTCTTACCGTCAACAAACTACCCTCAGGAAAGCTGGAAATGGAGCTATGGCTCAAGTGGTAGAAAGCTAGGCTTCAGTAAAAGAAGCTCAGAGATAGCCCAGGCCTAGAGTTCAAGCCCCAGGACCAACAGAGAGAGAGAGAGAGAGAGAGAGAGGAGGGGGGAAGGAGAGAGGGAAAGAGAGAAGGAGGGAGGGAGAGAGGGAGGGAGAGAAGGAGAGAGAGAAGGAGTGAGGGAGAGAGAGAGAGAGAGAGTAAATCACTCCACCCTTGGCCTGCCCAAGCCCCAGTCTATTACCTGTTACAATCCATCAGTATCTGCTGCAAGCTATTATGTACATAGCATTTCTACTGCTGTCATTTGTCTGGTGTGTGTCTGTCTGTTTGTTTTCTGTTGCACCAGGGTTGTGGAACCATTGGCTCCTGGTAAAGACCTTGGCGGGGAGGGGGGGGGGGGGCGGGGAGGATGCTGGATTCTTCTGATGACCCTTCAAGCAGTTCTGACAGAGAACAGTTTCCTAATCTCTTGCCTGTCACAGGAATTCACTCCCACTTTTTGCTGCCCATGTAGCAGAAAGGAAAAAGGGGGAAAAGAAGTGCAAGTTTTAATTGTCCTGTGTCTTTCTCTTCTTCAGCATCTTCGGAGCCTACAGCTTAGACGTGATCACAGGGACATCATTTGGGGTGAACATCGATTCTCTCAACAACCCACAGGACATCTTTGTGGAAAAAGTCAAGAGGCTTCTAAAAGCTGACTTCTTTAATCCATTGCTTTTCTCAGTAGGTTCGTGGATCTCTCGCTTTCTCTTCTTTGTTAAAAAAGAAAACCTAGTTCAAAGCTGGGCATCGGTGGCTCAGGCCTGTAATCCTAGCTATTCAGAAGGCTGAGATCTGAGGATCATAGTTCCAAGCCAGCCTGGGCAGGAAAGTCTATGAGACTCTTATCTCCAATAAGCCACTCAGAAAACTGGAAGTGGCACTGTGGCTCAAGTGGTAGAGTGCTGGCCTTGAGCTGAAGCACTGAGGGACAGCGCCCAGGCCCAGAGTTCAAGCCCCATGACTCAAAAAAAAAAACCAAACCCTAGTTCATTGAGGTACAATTCATTCATTTATACATATAAGTATCTCATTAAGCTGTATAATTCAATGATTTTTTCACTGCATATAAAGATATATGTGGTCATTACCACTGTTTCACCAGAAACCCTGTACTGGGCTGGGAATGTAGATTAGTGGTAGAGTGCTTGCCTAGCATGCATGAAGCCCTGAGTTCGATTCCTCAGTACCACATAAACAGAAAAAGTCAAAAGTGGGGCTGTAGCTCAAGAAGTAGAGTGCTTGCCTTGAGCACAAAGAGGCTCAGGGACAGTTCCCAGGCCCTGAGTTCAAGCCCCAGGACTGGCAAAAAAAAGAAGCCCTGTAGCTGTTTCCTGGCAATGGCTCATACCTATAGCCCTAGCTACTCAGGAGTCTGAGATCTGAGAATCGTGGTTTGAAGCCTGCCTGAGGCAGGAAAATCTGAATCCCTGATTTCCAATTGGAGCTATGATACAAGTGCTAGGGCATCTGCCTTGAGACAAAAAAACAAACAAGAGAGAGAGTGTCTAGGTGCTGATTTCAAGGTGCTGATGAAAGAAAGAAAGAGAGAGAAAAAGAGAGGGAAGGAAGAAAGAAAAGAAAGAAGGAAGGAGCCCTGTACTTTTTAGCTTGTACTTTTCTACTTCTCTCAGGCCTGAATGATCACTTACCTATTTTCTCACTGTCTATAACTGTGTCTGGCTTCTGTGTTATGCTTTCAAGTTTCATCCATCTTGAGGTATGTATTAGTACCTTATTTCCTTATATGGCTGAATAACATTCCATGGTGTAGACAGCACATTTTGTATTTTCACCGTGTTTCTATTTCTTGTTTTCTGCTGTAGTACTATTTCCATTCCTTACATCTGTTTATGAGGCATTAAATATCAGCATGTTTCCAAAGGATGTTACAGATTTCCTGAGAACTTCTGTAGAAAGGATGAAAGAAAGTCGCCTCAAAGATAAAGCAAAGGTAAAAGCTGGTGATGGTTACTTAAGGATGTTCAAAGGTTATTTGGCTCTAGGTGTATGTTTTATATAACTGTTTGTCCTTTTCTAAAGTTAGATAGAGAACTCTAGGTTCAGATCAAGAATTTTTAGATTGGAAGGGAGAATGAAGAATTTAGTCGTTGGGAATGGAGGCATAAAATATATGAAAAAGAAAGAATTTAAAATTGAAAGATAAATGCTAGGCACCAGTGGCTCATGCCTGTAATACGCTCTACTCAGGAGGCTGAGATCAGATTTGAAGATCATGGTGTGAAGCCAGCTTGGGCAGGAAAGTCAGTGAGCCTCTTCTCTCTAGTTAACCAGAAGTGGCTCAAGTGGTACAGTGTTAGCCTTGAGCAAACAAGTAGAGGGAAAGAAACCAGGTTCTGAGTTCAAGTCCTAGTATACACGCGCGCGCACACACACACACACACACACACACACACACACACACACACACACACACACGTGATTATTTTATTTCCAAGCTTCACTCGGCTATAGGCCATCTACTGAAGTGTGTCTAGTTTAAATTTGAGCCCCTGAAGGCTTGTCTGAATATCTGATTCATACAGCTTAGACATCAGAACAAGGATGTCTGTAGGGCAGAAAGACAGTACTGGGTTCCTCCAAGTGTCACTGAAAAATCTGTAACATTCCAGAATGGTGATATGTTTGCAGATGCTTACTCTAAAGAGATGAATCTGTGGAATCTACATTAAGAAGAATGTGCACAGCTGGGCTCTGGTGGCTCACGCCTGTAAGCCTAGCTACTCAGGAGGTTGAGATCTGAGGATCGTGGTTCAAAGCCAACCTGGGCAGGAAAGTCCATAAGACTTTATCTATAATTAGCCACCAGAAAACTGGAAGTAGCGCTGTGGCTCAAGTGGTAGAGCGCTAGCCTTGAGCTGAAAAGCTCACAAACAGTGCCCTAGCCCAGAGCCCCATGATCAACAACAACAACAAAGGAAGTCTGAAAAAAGACTGAAGTCCTGGTGTTGTTTGTGAGCAAACAGATGTGATAGGAGAAGAAGCCACATCCTGCCTGGGCCAACAGTTTGCTCTTAGAAGTCAGAGAATGTCAGAGCTGGGGAGAGCAAAGACCAAAAGCTGGCTTTCTTTTAGGAAAAGATCCTGATCCAACCAAAGTACTAAATAGATGTTCTTGTTCTCTGGTGATTCAGGCAATCTTTCGGCCAGGCATTGGCTGTTCACACCTGTAATCCTTGCTACTCATGAGGCTGAGATCACATCTAAGGATCATAGTACAAAGCCAGCCTTGCCAGAAAAGGCCATGAGACTTATTTCCAATTAACCATCAGAAACCCGGAGGTGATGCTGTGGTTCAAAGTGGTAGAGTGGCAGCCTTGAACAAAAAAGCTCAGGGACAGTGCCCAGGCCCTGAGTTCAAGCCCCATGACTGACAAATAAGAAAGAAAAATAAATAAAAAGAAAGATTTGTAGAGTTCCATGGGGTATATTCACAGAGGAACGTTAAGCTCTGCTCTTCTGATTTACTTCTCATTTCATGGGTGATCTTCTGCCTTTGAAATCTGTGTCTTCTTTCCAGCATCGAGTGGATTTACTGCAGCTGATGATTAACTCTCAGAATTCCAAAGACATGGAGTCCCACAAAGGTAACAAGGAATCTTTTGGGGTCTACTCACGAGGAAAATGTGAAGTCAGTTTTCCACATAGAGGCATATTTCTGCAGAATTTCAGAAAGATCCACATTCTGCTTTTATATATGGCAGCCAAAGGGAATTGCATTCTCATTACCATGGTCTTATATATTACATTTACAGCCAGGTGCCAGTAGCTCATGCCTGTCATCCTAGCTACTCAAGAAGGGGAAATCCAATGATCATGATTCAAAGACAGCCCAGGTAGAAAAGTTCATGAGACTCTGATCTCAAATAAACCACTGAAAGACCACAAGTAGAACAGTGACTGAAGTGGTGGAATATTAGCCTTGTGCTAAAAGGATCAGGGACAGAGCTCAGGCCCTGATTTCAAGCCCCAGAAATCACATAGACACAGACAGACAGACACACACACACACACACACACACACACACACACACTTATTCTCTTCCTATCATTATTTATTTATTTATTTTTTGGTCTGGTCGTGGGGCCTGAACTCTGGGCCTGGGTGCTGTCCCTCAGCTCTTCAGCTCAAGGCTAGCGCTCTGCCACTTGAGCCACAGCGCCACTTCCGGCTTTTTTCTTTTTGCTTATGTGGTGCTGAGGAATCGAACCCAAGGCTTCATGCATGCAAGACAAGCGCTCTACCACTGAGCCACCTTCCCAGCCCTATCATCATTTATTTTCATATTCAAGTTCTCTCATGTTTATTTACTGAAAACCCTTTCATGTGAGCTCATGAGTCCTTTCTTCTTCTCCATATTTTTAAGTACATGGTATTTTAGAGAAATTGTAGCTTCATAGACAAATTGAGCTAAATGTAAAAAGATACTCCTGGACTACATATGAATAACCTCTTAACATCCAAATTGATTATAGTGACTTCTTTTCTTTTTTTCTTTTATTGTCTAATCCTGGAGCTTGAACTCAGGGCCTGGACACTATCCTTTAGATTTTTTGCTCAAGACTGGCATTTATCCACTTGAGCCACAGCCCTACTTCTGGCGTTTGGTGATTTATTGGAGATGAGAGTCTTGGGGCTTTTCTGCCTAGGCTGGCTTTGAATTTCAATCCTCAAATCTCAACCTCCTGAGTAGCAAGGATTATAGGAATGTACCACTTGAACCTGGCAACCTATTGATTTCTCCACCCTTAGATCCTATGGTTCCCTTAGATCCTTCGAATTTGTTTCAATGGAAAAGATCCCTCCATGTTCTTTTATTTCTATTGTTATTAAATAGTTGTACAAAGGGGTTTTGTCTTGCTGTTTCCATATGTGTACGCAATGTCCCCCAATCAGACAGATGGGTCACACTGCTATGGTGGCACCTGTTAGATAGAACATGGTCTCTTAACTGACCCAGCTCTAAGTGGCACAAATGGGGAACACAGACAAGATGGGCAATGGTAGTGCAGACCTTTGGGAAACTGGATTGAACTTAGTTTGTCTCTTAGCTCTTGTCACATGTGGTGACTAGGTGACATTACCTTGCTTCTCTATGTCTTATCCTTAGGTATTAGTGGTCTTATAAACCATGATTGTGGCATTGTGTACTGACTTCATTGACCTAAAATGTATGTTTCTTTCCCTTTAGGTCTCTCTGACCTGGAGCTAGCAGCCCAATCAATTATCTTTATTTTCGCTGGCTATGAGACCACCAGCCTCACTCTTTCTTTTGCTATGTATCTATTGGCCCTTCACCCTGATGTCCAAAAGAAGCTTCAAGAAGAAGTTGACAGGACTTTACCCAATAAGGTGAGGGCAAGGCACCTGGGGAGGGCAGGAACTGATGAGGCATTACAAGAATGTCTCCTTATCACTTCTGGTGAGGAATTCTGTACAATGTAAGCATGGAAGGCTTCTATTTTGGAAGAATTTAAAGAGAGAAATGAAAGAGGGTGGAGGAAATAAAGGTATTAAGTATTCCTCAAAGAAATATAAGATCATTGTAAAAAGCTCATTTTTCCAACTGAATCCATGTTGGCTCATGCCTGTAATCCTAGCTACTTATGAAGCTGAGATGTGAGGATCACAGTTCAAGGTCAGACAGACCAAGAAAGTTGATGAGACTCTTATCTCCAATTAACCACAAAACACTGGAGGCGGAGCTGTGGGTCAAGTGGTAGAGCAATAGGCTTGGGCAAAAGAAGCTCAAACCCAGCACCCAGGCCCAGGCCCAGACTTTAAGCACCAGGAGTGGCAGGAAAAAAAGGCAAAATTCTCAATGGCAGAGAAGTATAAGCACATATGAACTAAGTATTTAGGTGCTGATAGGTGCTAGATGTGCTGTGCTCAAGCCAGGATGGACTTGGCTAGGCTGCACAGGGTGACTCAAGACTCAGTCTCCTGGGTCAGAGTTAGAGTTGAGGAAGCTAAGCTATGACCCCGGGCATCTGGCATCTAAGCTGATCTTCATTAGAGCACAGAGTGGCAACCACGCATTGTCACTCTGTGCTCACATCTTTGACAACAGTGAGATTCTGTGGGCAGCTGGACTGGCAGTCAGTAGGGTACACGGCCTCCTCTTCTGAGCCCGCAGTCAAGCTCTGAAGGAACAACAATGTACTGGTCCAGCAACGAGGATGGGGCTGAGTCTGTGCATTTGTATCCTCTTTAGAACTTTTACTAGAACTGAAAGGATGTTTACTGGTAGTATCCTTATATATATACTATATATTTATACTATATAATTTATACTATATACTATATATTTATACTATATAATTATTTTCCAATTACAAAAAGGACTAGTTTCTCCCTTGATTAGTTATAGAATTGCATATGAGATATGATATTGTATATATATAATATGTATGCACTATAATGTATCCATGTATGTTGTATAATCACAAATGTGGCCATGTGGCTATTTTAAATAAACAGAACAGGATTTCTCTTTTCTAAAGACCATACCTCTGTTCTCTCTCTGGTGAGCTGTAACACTGACTTTGGTGTATTTGACTGGAGGGTCATTGTCTTCAGCTATTGGTCACATTCCCTCACAGGAGAAAGAAAAGCAGTACAGGGCACCAACAATGAGCTTGGGACCTAAGGAATGGACTAGCATATCCATACCTCCTATTTGTGTTTTTCCATGGACCATCGAGCAGATCCTAGGACATAATTATTAGTTAAACACCTTGTGAAAGTTAAGATTCTTTATCAGCAAGAGTTATTCTTCAAAGCTCCTAACAACACTGGCAGAATTTCATTGATTGAGGTCAGACTACATCCCAAACTTGTTAGGCACCTGCCACCTATGATGCCGTGATGGAGATGGAGTATGTGGACATGGTGGTGAACGAGGTTCTCAGGCTGTACCCCATTGCTGGCCGACTTGAGAGGGCGTGTAAGGCAGATGTGGAAATCAACGGAGTGGTTATTCCCAAAAACACCGTGGTGATGGTACCAACCTACGCTCTTCAACGGGACGCCAAGTACTGGCCAGAGCCTGAGGAATTCCGCCCTGAGAGGTAAGCGGGCCAGGAGGAAAGATGCCTTCCTTGACATGGTCACTTCCTGCTTCTGCGTGGTCCCTTAACTTAGAAGGCATAGTGATCTTGTTCAATGATTTGCACAAATGCCTTTACCTTCAGCAATTTTTTAATATTACAAGCATGACAAATTTGGACAAAATTGTAAAAGTGGACCAGAAAAAAGGGATACAAATTCTTAAGTCTAGAAATAATCATTTATTAATGATGTCACATCTATGGATATATATCCAGGAGCATACTTCTATGCATGTAATTGTAGTGGGTTTTATTTTTCTGTTTTGTTGTTTTTGTTTATCTGTCATAGGACTTGAACTGAGGACGTGGGTTCTGTTCCAGAGCTCTTTTGCGCTCAAGGCTAGTACTCTGCCACTTTGAGTCATGGAATGACTTCTGGTTTTCTGGTGGTTAATTGAAGATAAGAATCTTTTTTCCTGCCAGTCCTGGCTTTGAAATGAGTTTCTCTGATCTCAAGCTCCTGAATGGCTAGGATGACAGACGTGATTCTCCAGCTCCCAGCTGGATTTTACTTTTAAAGAACTGCTTACTTAGTAAACTGTAAAGTCTTCACCATCCCGTGTTAATATACTATATAAGCGTGTGTGTGTGTGTGTGTGTGTGTGTGTGTGTGTGTGTGTGTGTGTGTGTGTGGAGAGAGAAAGAGAGATAAAGGTACATGGATGGATAGAGGACTGACAGACTGAATTATTGATTGATTGATCACTCTGTAATTACAGAGGACTGTAATTTACACCTGTATTTCAGTCACTTGTGGCTCAAAACCCTTTGAAACATATGAAACCAGCTGGGCACTGGTGGCTCACACCTGTAATCCTGGGTACTGAGGAGGCTGAGATCTGAGGATCATGGTTCAAAGCCAGCGCCAGCAGGAAAGTCTGTGAGACTCTTACCTCCAATAAACTACCAGAAAACCAGAAGTGGTGCTGTGGCTCAAGTGGTAGAGTGCTTACCTTGAGCTGAAGAGCTGAGGGACAGCACCCAAGCGCAGAGTTCAAGCCTCATGACTGACAAAAAAAGAAACAGTATTTAGTATATACAGCAGTACTGAGTATATACAAAAGAGTAAAATCTAAGTATTATACTGAATTTATTTAATAGGAGTAATTGTATATAATCTAGAGATGATTTGAAGTATACACTAGGACATACATCTTTTGCAAATAGTCTGCCATTTCTTATCAGGGCCTTGAGCACCTATGGATTATGTTTTGTTTGGATGTTGCAACTAATCCTGCATAGACAGGGCAAAGTGTGTGTGTGTGTGTGTGTGTGTGTGTGTGTGAGTGTGTGTGTGTGTGTGTGTATGCTCGTGGGTGACAGGTGGGTGTGTATGAAGATTTAGGATGACTGTATGCATCTGCCATCATTTATTCTATACTCTCTGCATTTAGGTGTTTGGGTTTTTATTCCCTCTGGTTTTGTGTGCCATTCCCTTTAGCTGTCTGAATTCACCACACCACCCCATTTTGGGAAGCACAGTTGTCTTGCACTGATTAGTCATTGGTCCTTGGCCCTCCAGGCTGATCACTGAAATGCAGACTGAGGAGCTGAGATGTCTTGGGCCTGATGGTTCAGGAAACCTCCCTGACTCCAGAGCAGACTGTGGGTCCTCATGGCCCCATGTGTGGCTGCTATCCTGGGGCAGCTCCTGAAGCAGCCTTCCTCTGGTGTGGATTGAGCAAGCTCTCCTGGAAATGTGGAGCTAAGGGCAGGCTTTGGGCGCAGTGTACAATCTAGAAATCGTTTCATTGTTGTGTTGATAAACAACAAATGGGATTTTAAAGTCAGAAGATGTGTGATCTTGACCTCAATTGTCCCTGAACTGGGGTCTTCCTGGTGGCAGAGGCCTCGTCTTGTGGGCTGTGCTGTTGTCTCTAGAGCCAGCATGAAGTGTGCCCCTCGCTCTGGTTGAAGGAGTGCGAAGGAAAGTGTAGATAAGAAAACCCACTGTTTATTGTGCTACACGCAACTGCAGTGTTGCCTGTAAATATGTCACTTCTACATGTCCATGCATCTGGAAAATTCTAGGGTGAGGAGACAGGAAAAAATGTATAGCTTACAATTCTTTCCTTTTGTTGGTTAGACATTTTTTTATATTTTATTTTTTTCAAAATTTTTATTGTGATTAAGTGGTTGCATAATTTCCCGAATTTCACAGTATTGTGGGATAGTGATGCTCAGTTAAAGTCACAAACACATTCTAACTTTCCTTGAGCAAATTGTCTATCACGATCTATAACATTTATGAGTGCTATGAGCTTTGCAGTAGTTATTTCTTCCACATTGGTTGATATGTACATTTCTTTTGTTTTGCATAGCATCAGCTGTTCCCTCTTTCCCACTTGTTCCCTCCCTCCCATCGCTGCCATTGAGTTGCTTAGTTCATTCTGGTCAATGTCCAGTGCAGCTGACGGGTCCCGCTGTTATGTGTTTTTCCCTGATTCCCTCTAGTTCTGTGTTGTCCTCCTGGTTCCCCTCTGGTGTGCACAAATATACCATACATGGGTTATTTAGTAGCATGGGTTATTTAGTAGTGTTTCAACTAGATGAGTGGAAGTCCTTTGTTTCTTAAGTTCTGTTAATTTTGTCGTATCACCTAACGTTTTAGATTTAACATCCAGTTATCAGGAGACCATGTGCCTTTGTCTCTTTCCTCTTGGCTTACCTCACTCAACATGATTTCTTCTAACTCCATCCATTTCCCTGCAAATGCCATTATTTTGCCATTTCTGATGGCTGCATAATATTCCATTGTGTATAGATACCACAATTTTTGGATCCATTCATCTGTGGTGGGACATCTGGGTTGTTTCCATATTCTGGCTATTGTGAACAGTGCTGCAATAAACATGGAGGTGCATGTGTCCTTGTATATTGGTTCCTGTTGTTCAGGATAGATGCCTAGAAGTGGTATGACTGGGTCGTAAGGGAGGTCAATATTTAGCTTTCTGAGGACCCTCCAGACTGCTTTCCAAAGTGGTTGTATAAATGTACATTCCCACCAGCAGTGTAATAGGGTTCCTGTTTCTCCACATCCCTCCAGCATTTGTCATTGGCTGATTTTAGGATGTAGGCTATTCTGACTGGGGTAAGGTGGTATCTCAGGATTGTCTTTATTTGCATTTCTTTCACAACCAGGGATAGTGAACATTTCCTCATGTGTTTCTTTGCCATTTTTATCTCTTCATCTGAGAAGTCTCTCTTTAATTCCCTTGTCCATTTAGTAGTTGGTTTGTTAGGTTTGGGAGGGATTAGTTTCTTGAGTTCCCTGTATATACTGGATATTAACCCCATGTCTGATATATTGTTGGTAAATACTTTTTCCCAATTAATTGGTTATCTTTCTAGCTTGGTTGCTTATAGCTTTAGCTGTGCAGAAGCTTTTTATTTTAAGATAGTCCCATTTGTCGAGTCTCTCTCCAATTTGTTGTGACCCTGGGACTCTGTTCAGGAAGTTCCTTCCTTGGTTAGACATTTTTAAGACACAATTTTATTGTTGTTACTAAGGTATTGTACAGTAACTAGGCTACCATTTCCTAAGTCAGATAATGAGTACATTTCTGTAGTTGTTGTTGATGATGATGGTATTAGTTGTTCCCTGTGCCTGTAAATTTTTTCTTAGAGGAAGCGCAGAAAAGGAGAGAAGAAAGATGAACTAATGTAGTCATGCTGTACTATTGCGTGCAGAACCACAGAAGGAGCCAGGTGGCTCACACCTGTAATCCTAGCTACTCAGAAGGCTGAGATCCTAGGATTGAAGTTCAAAGCTAGCCCAGGCAGGAAAGTCCCCACAAGATTCTTATCTTCAATGAGCCACCAGACAACCAGAAGTGGCACTGTGGCTCAAAGTGGTAGAGCACTAGCCTTGAACTGAAGGGTTCTGGGATAGCGCCCAGGTACTGAGTTTAAGCTCTATAACCCACAAAAATAAAGGGAAAAAGAAAACAAACCATAGCAGGATTTCATTGACCAGTACTATCTAGTACTGATTAGGGATGTCTGAAGTTCAGCCACCAATAGCTGGGTTCTTGAGGTGTTCATGTTTTCCCCACTTTCATTGTTTCAGGTTCAGCAAGAAGAACAAGGAAAGCATCAATCCTTACATCTACATGCCCTTTGGAGCTGGGCCCAGAAACTGCATCGGCATGAGGTTCGCTCTCATGAACATCAAACTTGCTCTTGTCAGACTCATGCAGAATTTCTCCTTCCAACCTTGTAAGGAGACCCAGGTCAGTATACTTCCTAGGTAGATAATACTTCATGACATTTGTTTGGGACTGAATACTGGGGCTTGAACTCAGGGCCTCACAGTTTTCACTGTGTTGTTTGCTCAAGGCTGGTGCTGTACCACTTGAGCTACACCTCCACTTTCCAGCTTTTTGCTGGTTAATTGGAGAAAAGAGTCTTAGGGACTTTTTCTATCCTGGACTAACTTGAAAGTGTGATATCAGCCTCCTGAGTAGCTAGGATTATCCACATGAGCTGAGGGTGCCTGGCTTTATGGGAGATTTGGGGGGTTTGCCTATGTTTTTTTTTAATTGAGAAGCCTATTGTCATACAAGGATATTTTTGTTCATCTGTCAATATTTGATGAACCAAAAGAATCTTTGTTGTTTTTGTTCCATTTCTTGGATTCCCCAATTTGGGAATTAGATAATTTATTTGGCAAAATCAAAGTAGAAAGCTTGTGTCCATACAGGCAGATTAACATGCGATGGCTTTGCTGAGTGCATTTGAACTTCCTGTCAGTTGGAATTAGAAAGCATGACATATGATCATGATATATAATGATCTTGTCATCATGATATTTGAGAGGATTCTCTTCTGACAAAGGTTACAGCTGTTTCCTGAAGGATAGAGGCTTATTTCCAAGGCTCACAAATTTAAAATTCTGCTCTTGCATGATAGTGTGATTCCTGCCAGAAAAAGGGAACATAGATAGAGAGATAGATAATTGGTAGATGATTGGTAGATAGATAGATAGTTTCTGCTTCTTGTATGGCTTTGGGGTAGCTGTGTCAATTTCCTATTAAGTGTACAACCAAGTAACTTAACCTTAAGAAAAATGGGGCCACAATATACATGAGATGGGACAGATGCTCTAGAGGTCCCCAGAGCATCTCTTTTCCAGATTGGAGACTGTTCACTTTCATAACGACATGCTTATCTTCCCTGTTCTGGGATAGGCAGGCTGCCCCTCCACTACTGAAAGACCCACTCACAATATGACTACTTAGTGTAGTACTCAGAAATTCCCCACTTCCCACTACACTGGGATATCAAAAGAACATGATAGAAAAGTAAAAAGAAAGGGAAGGAGGGAGGGAAGAAGGAAGGAAAGCAGGTACCAGCTGCTCATGCCTGTAATCCCAGCCATTCAGGATTTGGAGATCTGAGGGGCATGGTTAAAAGCCAGCAAGTCAGGAAAGTCCATGAGACGCATATCTCATAGACCTAACTACTGAAAAGCTCGAAGTAGAGTTGTGGCACAAGTGGTTGAGTTCTAGCCTTGGACAAAAAGTGCAGTGACAGTGCTGAGGCCTTCAGTTCACACCCCAGGATACTCCCCTATTCAATAGGAAGGAAAGAAGGAAGGAAAAAGAAAAGAAGGAAGAGAGAAAGTAAGCAAGCAAGCATTGGCTCAAATAGAAGAATGACTGGATTATTTAGAATTTGAAGACTTTCTGAAATTGAAATGTATACTACTTTCTCAGATCCAACAAATCCAAAATGAAACTTTTTATGAGTTTTCAAAAATATCTTGCCTTAATGGCTAAGAATCTGGCTTAAATTTTGTGTGTTTTTGTTCCGGTCCTAGGACTTGAACTCAGGGCCTGGGTGCTATCCGAAGCTTTTCCCCTCAAGGATAGTGCTCTACCACTTGAGCCACAGATCCATACCCAGCTTTAGAGTTGTTAACTGAAATTAAGAGTCTCACAAACTTTCCTGTCTGAGCTGACTTTGAACTGTGATCCTCAGATCTCAGCCTCTTGAGTAGCTAGGATTACAGGTGTGAGCCACTATTATCTGGCTGGTTCAATTTTTTAAACTCATTCTTTTTTTAAAAAATTATATCATTAAAGTAACATAACATAAATACCTATATTTTCCCCCAGTGAATAGATGAAAAAAATACTTTTCCCACCTTAGTCTTGACAATGCTTAATGAATGAGTAGAAAGAATTCAAGACAGGCAATGTCAAAACTAGTTGTCAATCATTATTACCTTTATCTTTTTTCTTTGCTGCTATGATTGGAAGTGCGTAGCTGATTGTTTCCTCATTACACTTCTTTCACTGTTGCAGATTCCTCTGAAATTAAGTGGTCCAGGACTTCTTCAACCAGAAAAACCCATTGTCCTAAAGATTGTGTCAAGAGATGGGACCGTAAGTGGAGCATGATTTTCTGCAAAGATTTTTCTGCTGTGTTCTCCAAAGACATTGTTTCCAAGAGCACTAGAAAATCAGTTGATTGTATGGGGGAAAAACAGTCCCTCCGAAATAGAGCCAGGCATGGTCTCTGCAGTGAATTCCTGATTAGCAGTTCTGGACATTTTCAAGTTTGTTCAATGGTTGTGTGAGCTTTTTATTATTACATAATGTTTTATTGAGATTAACTGATTGCATAAATTTGGCAAATATCACAGTACTGTAGGATAGTGATACTTAAAGTCACAAACACATTTTAACTTCACAAGGCAACTTGTCATGATCATGGTCTATAAACTTCATTAATTCCATAAACTGTGACAATAAACTACTTCTTCCAAATCGGGTGCTATGGACATTTTCCTTTTGTTTGGTGTCAGCTATTCCCTCTTTCCCTCTCATTCCCTCCCTCCTGTGTGGGCTTTTATCTACTGGGTGCCATAAAGGAACTGACTTCCTATTCTCACAGGAGTATTGCTCTCTCCTGTCATCCCTGCCGTCCTCAGAGCTGTGATCTGAGCACAGGCATTTATCACTAGTCTTATCAACAATTAGGAAAAGGAGAGCTCTTGTGATGATCCCATTGCAAAGATCTATCTTTAATGTTTTATTTGCATCATTCTACTCTGTGAATTGTGTTGAGAAAGCTGATAACAAACTTCATTCTGCAAAGATTATGATTATGAGGCCTCCACCCACAGGAGGGGCTGAAAGAGGATCTTCCATTTTTATCATCAGAACCAGTGATTGCCTGGGGTCTGTTTCAAGTCTCCAATTAGATTATTCATCATCCACAGGGTTAATCTGCCATGTTCTTCCTCATTGAAGGTGTATTGCTCGTCTGATGCTGCCATTTCTAAGTTCATATTTTTGTACCACTCTACTGAGATGTATTGTATTGGGTTTTGATCTAATGTTTCTGTCTCATCTCCCCCCAGTATTCCTTTGTAATCCATTTTCATCTCCCTGCTGTTTTAATATAATGAACACTGAATAAAGATAGCTGCTTGGTCAATTGATTCAACAGCAATGTTAAAAGCACTCCTTTATTTCAAACATCATCCTTTCTTCCCCTTCGGTTCCAATGCTTTCACTCAGTGCTTTCTCTTGTCTGTTTTCCTTGTTTGCTCATAATTTAGTCCCAAAGCTTCTAGAGCATACCAAGGTGGTGGGTACACTGTGCAATGGAGAAGGGAGTCATGATGGCTTCAAGTCAGAGATAAAGTAGGACCAGGAACTCCTCCACATGGAGGGGAAGCCTGGCCTGGATGTGGGAACCCAAGCTAGATGAAATGAAGCTATGCAGATGGGCGGCCTGGTAAAGGCAGCCGTGCCTCAAGGAGGGCATGGAGGCATAGAAGTTGGCCCCATAATGGATGAAATAAGAAAATATATCAAAGGTAAGAGAGGTTTCATTTACCACTGCTGATGAAGCAAGTCACCTCTTCAGAGAGAAAAAAACATGAGAGAGTGGAGTAGAATATGGCAGTGTACATGAATGCTTTTCGAGATAAGTGGATAGATAGATTGTCAGACAAACAGATGGATACTATTTTTTAATAACCAAGCATGCATGTATTACCTATCAACAGTTTGAATTTTGTAAGAGCAAGAATTCCAATCAATATCGAGCAAATGAACTACAGAGACACTCAAGGAAAAAATTTTAAAAACGCAAATGGCTGGTGGTTGTATGAGAAACTATTCAACATCTTTTCTCAATGAGGAAATGTAAAGCAAAACTACAATCAAAATGGCCATTATCAAGAATATAGACTATAAGTTGGGTACTGGTGGTTCATATCTATAATCCCAACTACTCAGGAGGCTGAGATCTGAGGATTGTGGTTCAAAGCCAGCCCAAGCAGGAAAGTCTGTGAGACTCTTATCTCCAATTAATCACTAAAATGCCAGAAGTGGAGCACCGAGACCCTGAGATTAAGCCCCCCACCCCCATTTCTATGACAGACTGGGGGATGATGATGGAGATTGGGTCACCTGGTGGCAGTGCTGTGGCAATGTTCAGGTCCTGGTTTTGCAGGTCATGTCTTAGTCACATGGGCGAATTACCATTATAAGAATCTAAGAGATAAGTCGGATGCCGTTGGCTCACGCCTATAATCCTAGCTAATCAGGAGGCTGAGATCTGAGGATCACTGTTCAAAGCCAGCCTGGGCAGGAAAGTCCATGAGACTCTTATCTCCAATGAACCACTTGAAAATTCCAAAGTGGTGCTGTGGCTCAAGTGACAGGGTGTTCATCTTGAGCTGAAGAGCTCAAGGACATCACCTAGGCCCAGAGTTTAAGCCCTGAAACCGACAAAAAAAAAAAAAAAAAAAAATATATATATATATATATATATATATATAAGGCATGATTAAAAGTGAGTGGAGAGTTTAGTTTGAGATGGTTCTGTAGAACAGTTCCTTGAGGGAGGTTCTCTATTGGTGCTTGTGAAGTGGGCAGGCACAGGCCTGGTCTTACTAGCTCAACCCAGTATAGGGAGTCACTGCGGAAACTGGAAATGCAGTGTTTTTCACTGAATTTTTTTTCTTTTGCTCCACAAGTCTCTCACACTTTGCTGACACCCAGACACCCTTTACCATAGTCCTGCCAAACCTTCTAAAACTCTCGGGCTAACTGATTTACAGCCCTCAAAATTAACTCGCCTATGTACCCACATCTGGTCTTAGTACTTTCAATGTTGACATTACTGACTGATTGACTCAAAGCAACAAAACAGAGAGGGGTCCAAGGCCTCTACACTCAAGCCTTCTACCTCTACTCCAGATCCTCCGCCTCCTTGTCTAGCCCCGCATACCAAGTTTTCCTCTGCTATAAGCCCCCCAAACTGTCTCCTCTAAAATCTTTCCTATTCTTGTAAGAGTTCAATCTCCTCTCTCTCTTCTCTCCCTCCCTCTCTTCTTTCCCTCTCCTTCTTTCTGCCTCTCTGCTGGTGCCCTTGAGAGTTAAGATCCAGGCAGGGTCTCAGGGACCCTCTTCTAGGTTTCCTCTCAAGGCTAGCCATCCTAACTTAAATTCTCTTAGTTAAAACTGTCTGTCTCCCTCTGTCTGTCCTCCAGTACACCCACTCTGTTTCTGCGTGACCCTGCCCTTCTCCCTTTCTGCTTGTTGTCTCCTGTTTGCTTGCTTGCTTACTTACTTAACAGAGCTCTACCACATTCACTTACCATCCTGATTTGCTTTTTGCCATTTTGGCCATGTGGTAGGTTTTGGTGTGCCCTCTACCCCCACTTTTAGCAAGTGTTTAAAGGTTAATTTGTATGCTTATATATCTTGTTACCAAAATTGTTTTAAAGGTTTTCTGGTAATTGTCTCCAGGAGAACTTTGGAGTAAGTGTCTGCCTGTGTGTCTGTGTTTTGTTTGCATGTTTTTCTGGTATCTGGGGATTGATCCATCTGGAAATTGAAGAGGTAAGGGCAGTAGATGTGCTTGAGAACTTGCCCTTCTTCCTCCTACTCTGACAATGTGAGCAGGTTCTGTGTGGTCATGGTAGCGTGAGAGACTACCTGGCATCTGGCCATGGTAGAGGTTCTGTGGACCAGGCCACCCGGTGTCTGGCCATGGTACAAACTGTGGATCAGGCCCCCCCCCCGAATCTGGCCATGGTAGGGTGAGAACTACCCTGTGTCTTGCCATGTCGGAGGTCTGAGGACCAGGCCATTTGGCGCTGGAGGTTTGGGGGCCAGGCGGACCCAGCATGTTTCTGTCCTATGGATCCTTGTTTTCTGTGTCTTTGTTGTTCATTTGGACATCTCTGGAGAAATAAAAGTTCCAGCCTCCAGCTGGGTCCAGTCGCAGACCTACTGCAACAGCAGTCAAGAGTCCTGGCACAGGCAGTTGCAGGCTTAGTTTGGTCCTTAGCAATCTGGCTAAAGTCACAGGCCTCAGGCTGCATCCCCTCCCTTCCACAGCAGCCTGAGCAGTGACAGTGCACAAACAGCTGTGGGCCTGGTTGGGACATCTAACTAATCCTGTTCTTGTGAAAGTTGTAAAGTGCTCTTGTCTAAAAGTGGATAAAAGACCGAGTCAGACCAGTTTAGTTTCAGGTGACCCCCACCCAGCCTTCAATATTTGTTTTTTGATGTTTATTTGGTTAATATTTCTCTACCCTGTGAAAGGCTGTAGTTCATGAGGTCAAGGATTCAGACTCCCCCATGCTTAGTGCCAAATACATATCGAGAACATGGCAGGCATGCAACCAAACCTACATGCACAGCAAGGAGGAAAATAAAGGTCTTAACTACATCCAGTACTAACAGAGGCTGTGGCTGTACTTGACTTCTCCACATCACCCCCAAATGGGAAATTCATAAGAACTGTCTCTCCCTTTCTCCAGTAACCAAAATGAGGCCCTGAAAATCAGCAAATCACATTTCACACAATTGAGAAAAACTGGTACCTACCTAAATGAGACAACCTTATTTTATTTTCCTGGCGCAATCAGAATTGTGACTTGTAAACTTTGAATCTAATATGTATATCAGAACACACACATGCACACACACACACAAACACACACACTGAATACAATTTATTCATTCAGTGAAAATCAAGACAGGCTTCCTATGAGAAGGGCCATATGAGTGACCAGCACAAATCCTTTGCACCGCCAAGAGCATGGATCAATAATACAATTACCCTCTGAGTGTTAACTGAACTGTCACCTTTTGTTAAAGAGACGGGAAAGTAGTGTCCATGTGAGATGTATGTGTCTAATACCTGCATGATTAATTTGTCCTTGAATATGCAGGAATGATCTCATCTGTGTATCTGAAACCCAGAATTTTATCTGATTGTTCTCATCTGCGTACTCTGTATACAATGGATCTTTAAAAGTACACAATGCCTAGGTTGGAAAGTATGGTTCAGTTGGGAGAGCATTAGCCAATGAGTGAACACATCAGGTACTGAGTTCGAGTTCCAGTCTCAGAAAAAAACAAAAGAATACACAATACCTTCAATTAGTATATGGGCCAGTGAGAGAACAAATGTCATTAGACCATTCTTCTGGCAAACACTAAATTCTGGGACATGTACAGTCCAGCTCTTCATATGTGTGTTTGAAGT